TGGGACTGGCTCAGCTTCTCTGCCCTAGGAGCCTGGGATGGAGGCGGGGAGCTTCCTTCCGGGTGCTGGGACTGGCTGAGCTTCTCTGCCCTAGGAGCCTGGGATGGAGGCGGGGAGCTTCTTTCCGGGTGCTGGGAACAGCTGAGCTTCTCAGAAAGATAAATTATAATAAGAACAGGGCCGGAGATTTAGCTCAGTGGTTCCACCGCCTACCTTGCAAGCTAAGGACCCACGTTCGATCCCCAGTACCAAAAAAAAATTATAATAACAGATAATCATGCATTTGTAGCATGCTTTTTAGTTTTCAAGGTATTTTTGTACTCATTATCTCATCTTGTTTTTAAAAGAACTCAAAAAATAAAAAATAAAAAAAAAGAACTTAAAAGACATAGAGCTTGATGTATAGTTATCCCTGTCTTACAGGGCAAAAAAATTTAAGACCTTTGGTTAGTGATCAGCTCAAAATCATATTTTCTCTGCCCTTCCTCCTCTCCTCTTTTCTTTTCCTCTCTCTTTCCCTTTGCCATCTATCTTTTTTTCAATAGAAGTGGTGAAAGCAGACATCCTTGCCTTGTACCCAGTCTTGGGGAGAAGTATTTGGTCTTGTTCTTTAAAGTTAGATGTTAGTTGCAGTTTTTTTTCTGGATGCCCTTCATCAAATTGATAAAGTTTCCTTTCTGTTTGTAGTTTGCTGAGAATTTTTGTTGGGAATGAATTTTGGGTTTTGCAGCAGCTTTTCTCTCTCCCCTTCCCCCTCCCCCTCCCTCCTTCTGCCTCAGCCTCTGAGTGTTGGGATTATAGGCATGTACCAGCACACATGACATTTTCTGCATCTCTTGAGATAGTGATGAATGGCAGTGATTTATTTTCTAATTTGAAAAGTCTTACATTCCTTTGATAAACCTCAATTTGCCATAATATATTACCCATTTTATACAATTAGATTCCATTTGCTAAAATGTACTTGTTTCTAACTTCTTGATTTTATAGATAGGGCGGCCCTCCATGTGGAATAAGTCTTTCCTCTCCCCACTGCCTCTCCTCCTGTCAGTGAATTGTGACATAGGGGTCAGTGGGATAGTGGTAAGCCCTGCATTGGCTTGAGTTCCAGGATTTCACCAGTGTATTAGACCAAAGGATTTTGAACTTCCAGCTGCTAAATTTCATCCCTCCCCCTCACCAGTACCGGGGATCAAACTAAGGACCTTGTGCTTCCCAGGCAGGCGCTGCGCCACTGAGGTGCATCCCAGGCCCTAAATTTCATTTTTAAATGAAACCTTCATGTAAAAGCTCCGTGTAGAAAACAGATATAACTGTGATTTTATTTATATAAATATGGTTTGCAAATCCAGTATTTCAACACTCTGAATTTAATGAGACCAATACAGTTTTGATGAATACAAATCTAATATTAAGGATTATGAGTAACAGGTCAATCGTATCTTCTTCAGCTACCAGTTTATTTGGTTGAATGTCCATATTGAGGAAAATTGTGACTTCACGTAAGAGTTAATTTCCTGTGATTTTTTTTTTTTAAATAGCTTTCCTTACAGTCTCTGAGATTTCTTTAAGTAAACTTATCAAGAACTTGAAAGTAAAGGAGTAGGGAATTGATTTCACAGTTTAATCACTATAATTTCTAACAAACAGTTCACATTTTTAAATCACATATAAAGTCATACAAAGGAAAATTTTTAAAACAGGTGCTAAACAATAGATAATGTCTTGACAAGACTGTCAATAGGTTACTTTATTGATTCTTGTATGTAATGTGCACAGAAAGCTAAATGTACCCTCCTTCATCTGGCACTTAGAATAGTAGGACCTTTGCTTCAACTTCAGTGAGCAAATATGTGCAGGTCTGAATTGGGATGGTAGATGGGAGGAAAAACAAAACAAAAAAAACAGTATAGCTTTACAAACCTTTCTAATTAATGACATTTACCAGAAGTTCAAATGTATACAATCAGTAATTAGCAGGAGAAACATTATCATTATTGTGAGGTTTACTTGAAAATGGAGTCAATCTGGCAAAGGTATCTCTTTTGTATTAAAATTTGGTATAGGGCTGGGGGTGTAGCTCAGTGGTGCAGCACCTGCTTGGCAAGCACAAGGTCCTGAGTTCAATCCCCGGTACCAGGAAAAAAAAATTTGGTATAGAATTCATTCAGTTCTGTATATTTTTAATTAGATTTTTTTTTTTTTTGGTACCGGGGATCGAACTCAGGTCCTTGCACTTGCACAGCAGGCGATGAAACCACTGAGCTAAATCCCTGGCCCTTAGTTAGATTTTTAAAAAAATATTTTTAAAAAAATATTTTGAAGAGGATTTGAAACCATATGCTCATAGAATTTCAAATGCTCTTTGGGACCTGAAAGTTCTGTGGAACAGTTTGAAAGTCTTTCTGCTTCTCTTTAATTCTCATTTGAAATTAGAGTTCTGGTAAATTAAAGGGAAAATACAAAGGTCTTTATTAGTGTGTTAAGGTTCATAGTAATGTGTTAAACTTTGTAGTAACAAGTAGGCAGTCAGAAGCAAAAATTGAGACAGAATTTACCCCCTACATATGTATAAGTTGTATGTACAGTTATAATAATTAAAACATGTTAAAAGCATCTGTATTTCACATATTCTTGTTATGTGAGTATAAGTTCATATTCATAGGTTTAAACTGAGAATTCCTAATTCTGACCTTTAAAATGGGATTGTAGAGCTCTCTTATAACTTATGCATTTATGAGTTTTATAGAGTTTTCACTAATGTTGCCTCAAAGGAGATTGTTACCTTTTGATCTCTGTAGATTGATCATTTTACCCTATACCTCTTCATTTCTCTTAATTTCTTCAGTTTTCCTTCACCTTTTCTTAAAAATTGGAATCCCAAATGTGTAACTGAGATTTTAGAGATGATTCACATTCTTCATTTTAGATTTCAGGGTGATCTTAACTAGATTCTGACCAGAAAAGAGTTTGTATGTCCTTGCATACTAGATTTAATAAAAACTACAAAAATATTTTTCTAATTGTCTACTTTGCTTCTAGGATCTCTGTATGGCCTTCTCTATAATTTTAGACTTTGGACTACTAATGAGCAGAGAAGTACTTGTGTTATTTTAGTAACAACCCATGTATGCTTAAAATGAGATAGGCTCCTTTTGTTAGGTTTCCAAGCAGTGTAGGATAGAAAAGATCTCAAGCTTTGAGGCTGGAAATCTTATTTGAAATTTTAGTCCGGCTGCCTACCAGCTTTGTGAATGGAAAGTTACCTAACCTCTATGAGTTCATTTTCTTCATGTGTAAACTAGGAGAATGATGTATGTAAAGCTCTTTGGGCATAATTAAGGGCACAATAAAATAGACACATAAGTTAGTTATAAAAATGAAAGATAAAATAACAGAAACGTTAAAAGCTGGCAGAAAAAGAAGAGAATAAACATTTGTTAATAAACAGTGTGGAAGAACAGACAAAATGGGTAAGAAATAGTTTAGTTTATATTTGGTTCAATTCTAATACTTTCCCTATTTTCATTAGTATTTATCTTATATAATTTTAGGTCATATTGAACTTAAACTTTTTTTGTGAGATCAAATTGTGTTTGAATTTTAAGTGTCTTTTATTTAGTGTTATTAATACTTGTTTTTATTAGTGTTACTCTGAGTAATTACACAAGTTTTTATTTAACTCACAGGTGGCTGTTTGTTGCATCTGTTTTTTTGTTATTCTTCCTCTAAATCTTGTTGGTACAATACTTGGCCGAAATCTGTCAGGTCAGCCCAACTTCCCTTGCCGTGTCAATGCTGTGCCTCGTCCAATACCGGAGAAAAAATGGTAAAGAGAATGCTACAGTTTATGTGATTGTTTCTCACAGTATATACGTTCTCACAGCTATTGTATTGTGTACATACCGCATTTAGAATTGGCATGTATTTATGAGAATGACTGTCTTAAATTTGAGCTTAGGAATTTGTTCTTTTTTTTTTTGGTACTGAGGATCGAACTCTGGTCCTTGGCGCTTGTGCAGCAGGTGGCAAAACCACTGAGCTAAATCCCCAGCCCAGAATTTGTTCATTTTAATTTTTCCATCAGTCTGCCTTGTTAGGACTAGTAAAGTTATACCTTTATTTCACTTTCTAAATATTTGTGCCTTTTATAGGTAAATGCTTTGATAAACATACTAGCATGTTCTTGAGGATCTCCCATAAATCAAGATTAGTCCTCACAAAGGATGACAAGTATTTGAAATTGTTATTCTTAATGGATTTTTTTTGTTTTTGGGTTTTTTTGAGACAAGGTCTCACTATGCAGTTCAGGCTGGCCTTGAACTCACAGCACTCCTCCTGTCTCAGCCTACTGAGTACTGGGATTAGAGGCATGCACCACCATGCCTGGCTTTTAATGGATTTTGAATTTGAAGTAATTTGTATTTTTTTCAGATTTTGAACATAAAATATTAACATTTTAAAATTTCTAGTTTTCTGGGGCTGGGGATTTAGCTCAGTGATTCCACTGCCTGCTGTGCAAGCGCAAGGACACGAGTTCGATCCCCGGTACCAAAAAAAAAAAAATTTCTAATTTTTGTGTTGCAAATTTAAGTGCAGTGACACATGTGTGCGCACACACTCACATATATGTATATGTATCCTTTAAAGTTAGTACATTAAAAGAAATCCATGACCATCAAACCAGCACTCCAAAAAATTCTCCAGTGTATTCTAGAAAGAGACAATGAACCTAACAATGCCAAAAGCTCCAGTAGAATGAACCAGACATTTAAGTAGAAGAGAAAGGAAGTCAGTAACAAGAAAATAATACAATGATAGTAATAAGTGAGTACTTATCAGTTATAAGTATCAATGTGTAAGATCTCAATTCCCAATTAAAAGACAGTAGCATAATGGATCAAGAAACAAAATCTAGCAGTATGCTGTATACGAGAAACACCTTTGACCCAAAAAGAAATTTGTAGATTAAAAATCAAAGGATGAAAAACTGTATTACATGCGATGGGGACCCAAAAACAAACAGGGGAAGATATCCTATTTTCAGACAGAGGGAATTGTAAGCCAAAACTAATCAAGAGAATCAAAAAAGGACTTTGTATATTGGTTAAGGGAACAATTCAATGGGAAGAGATAACAGTTATAAACATATATATATATACCAAACAACAGTACACCCAGCTCCATAAAACAGACACTACTGGACATAAAAGATATAAAACATCAGTTCAATTATAGTGGGAAACCTCAATAACTCACTATCACAACTAACTAAACAAAAAAAGAAATATCGGAGTTGAACCAAACTTTTGAAACAAATGGACTTCGTAAATGTATTACAGTGTTTCACCTGACAACAACAGAATACACATTTTTTTGGCAGCTCGTGGAACTTTCTCCAAAATAGACCACATACTGGCCAAAAAATCATGCCTTAAGTAAATGCAAAAGAATCAAAATTTTGCTGAGCATATTATCAGATCATAGTGCAATGAAAGTAGAAGTCGGGTAAAAGGCACAGCAGAGATTATGCAAATGAATGGAAATTAGACAACACATTCTTGAATAATGAAAGGATCACAGAAGAAATAAAAAAATAAGACAGTTCCTAGAATTAAATGATAATGACAGTACAGCATACCAGAACTTAATGGGTCACAATGAAAGCAGTCCTAAGAGGGAAGTTTTTTCAGCTATGATTGCCCAGATCAGGAAAACAAAATAAGCCCAAATAACCTAATGATGGATTTCAAGATCCTAGAAAAACAAGAACAGTCCAAATCTAGAGTTAGTACAAGGAAGGGATTTATAAAGAACAGAGCAGAGGGCTGGGGATATAGCTTAGGGGCATCACGCCTGCCTTGCAAGCGCAAGGTTCTGAGTTCGATCTCCAGTACTGGAAGAGAAAAAAAAACAGTAGAAATTAATGCAATGGAGACTTTAAAAAGAAACAAAGAAGAATCAATCTAAGAACTGGTTCTTTGAAAGACTAAACAGACAAAACCGTTAGCTACTCTTATCAAAATAAAGACAATGCCATTAGAAATGAAAAAGTTAAAATCACAATGGACACTGCTAAAATCCAGAAGATTTTTAGCAACTACTTCACAAATCCATACACCAATAAATTGGAGAACTCAGAAGAAATGGAGAGATCCCTAGATACATACAAATTACCAACTGAACCAAGAAGATGTAAAAATCCTGAATAACCAAATAACAGGGATTGAAATTGAAGCAGTAATTTAAAAAACTTGTCAACTAAGAAAACCCCAGGACCTGATGGATTCGACAGAAACTTTAGGCAAGATCTAATGCCAGTACTTCTCAAACTAATGAAATAGAAAGGGAAGGAGTACTCCCAAGGTCATCCTTGGAAGCTAGCAGTAATTACCCTGATTCCAAAACTAGAAGAGAGAAAAAAGGACTGCTGGCCAATTTCTCTAATGAACATAGATGCAGAAATCCTCAACAAGACACTGGCAAACAGAATACAGCAAATTATCAAAAAGATCATACACCATGATGAAGTAGGCATCATCCCAGGGATTAAAGGATGGTTCAACATGCAAAAATCAAATCTTAAAAATTACATGATAAATAACAAAAAGCCTTTGCCAAAATCCAACAACCATTCATAATAATAAAAAACCCCCAAACCCTAAATAGATTTGGAGGGACCTTATCTTCTCAGTTCAATAAAAGTCATTTATGGGCCAGGTATTTAGCTCAATGGTTCCACCACCAGCCTCGCAAGTGCAAGGTCCCAAGTTCAATCCCCGGTAACAAAATAAAAACATCTAGCAAAAGTCATTTATGACAAACCTAACGCTGACATATTAAATGGGGGAAAACTGAAAGTTTTTACTCTAAAATCAAGAACAAGGGTGTCCACTATCACCATTCCCTTTCAGCATAGTCCTTGACACATTAACCAGAGCAAGCAGGGAAGAGAAGGAAATAAAAGGGGGGGATACATATAGGAAAGGACAAAGTCAAAGTATCATTATTTGTAGATAACATAAACCTCTACTTACATGACCCAAACATGCTACCAAGAGTCCTAGAATTAATGACTTAAATTCAGCAGTGTAGTAGAATACAAAATCCAACACAAAAAAATCAAGTGTTCCTATACACTAATAATGAACTCACTGAGAAAGAAGTTAAAACAATTACCATTCACAACAGCATCAAGAAAAATTAAATATTTAGAGGAATTAACCAAGGAAGTGAACGACTTCTACAACAAAAATTACATCACTCTAAACAAAGAGATTGACGAGGACATCAGAAAATGGAAAGATAGCCTATGTTCCTAGATAGGCAGACCAATATAGTCAAAATGGCCATACTTCCAAAACTGATACATAGATTGAAGCAGTCCCAATCAAAATACCAACAGCATTCCTCACACATTTAGAGAAAACAATTTTATAATTCACGTGGAACCATAAGAGACCTGAAATAGCAAAAGCAATCCTAGGTAATAAAAGCAAAGCACAAGAAATTGTAATACCAAATTTGAAGTTTCATTACACAGATACAGTGATTAAAAACAGTGTGGTACTAGCACAGAAACAGACATTGGATCATTGGAACAGAATAGAGGAAGCAGAAAAAAACCCAGGCACATTCAGCCATTTGATCTTTGATGAAGGGGCCAAAAAACATGCTGGAGGAAAGATAGCCTGTTTAATAAATGGTGCTGAGAAAATTGGATATCCACATGCAGATTGAGTCTAGACTCATAGATCTCACCATGTACTAAATTAAAATAATAAAAATGGATCAAAGATTTAAATGTTAAAATAGACGCAGTCTGCTGGAAGATAAAGTGAGTAAAACTCTTGAAGGCATAGGCACAGGCAAGGACTTTTTGAACAGAACCAAAATGGCACAGGAAATAATACCGTGAGTCAACAAATGGAATCATATCAAATTTTTAAAAATTCTGGAGAGTAAACAACCAACAGAGTGAATAGACATTCTACAGAATAGAAAAAAAATATATTAAGTAGTCTTTGGACAGAGAACTAACATCTTTAAATACATGAAAAAATGTTCAACATTTTAAATGGAAATTAAAACAATGGGGTGGTATGTTTTACTCCAGAAGGAATGGCAATCATCAAGAAATTAAATAATAAGAAATGTTAGGCTGTGGTGAAGGAGGAGCCCCTCTACATTGTTGGTGGGAATGTAAACTAGTACAACCACTATGGAAATTAATATGGAGATTCCTCAAAAAACTGAAAATAGAAATTCCATTTGACCTAGCTATTCCCCTTCTAGGTATCTTCCCAAAAGAGTTAAAGCCATCCTATTAGAGTGATACAGGTATATCTATGTTTATGGCAGCACAATTTATAAGAGCTAAATCTTGGAAACAGCCTATATGCTCATCAGCAGATGATGGATAAAAAAAATGTGGCATTTATACATAATGGAGTACTACTTTGCCATAAAGAATGATAAACTTTAGGCATTCTTAGGTACACAAATACACCTTGAGACCATAATGTTCAGTGAAGTAAAGCAGACACACAAGCTTAAATATCTCATAACCCAAAATATAAAGCACAAAGTAAAAGATAGATAATAGGAAGTAGGGAGATTTTTTTCAAATGAGAAGTGGAATAGGAGATGGAGAGAGGGAAAAAGAGATGGGGAAAAAAAGAATTGAAGGAAAAAAAGTAGAAATGAATCTTCTTCAAATGAAAATGACCAAGAGTAGAAAGAAACAGGGAGGGGTGGGATGATAGGGGACAAAAGAGAATTAAGATGTGTTATATACATGTACCAACTCTCCTCCATAATCATTATGTACTGCAAACATGTACTAAAGAAAATTTTTTTTTTTTTTGGTACTGGGGATTGAACTTGGGTCCTTGCGCTTGCGCAGCATGCGGCGAAAACAATGAGCTAAATCCCTGGCCCCAAAAAAATTTTTAATAGGAATCCACATCCCTCCCAAATAAAGGTAGTATATTGAATATTATGTTGATGTATGCTATTCTGCTTTTGTTATTTTCCTAGTTTGTTTTGTTCCCATAGTTTTGTTTTTGTTTTTTTTTTATTTTAATTTATTTTATTTTATTTTTTGGTACCGGGGATTGAACTCGGGTCCTTGTGCTTGCGCAGCAGACGGCGAAACCACTGAGCTAAATCCCCGGCTGTTCCCATAGTTCTTAATAGAGAAAAACAGAACAATCTTACTGTACATTTGTTGCATTTTTCACCTCATAAGAATAGCTGAGCAGTAGGCTATATTTATAAAAAGTATAAACACATGCACAGAAAAGCCTTTGCTCTTAGATATTTTACTATATTATAAATACAGCATATATTCTAGTAATTACACACATAGGTAAAGATTATTTTTTGTCTTTTCTAGATATGAAAGGATAACGATATGTATAGAAATGAAGGTTGAATAAAATAGTCCCTAAGCTGGGCATGGTGGTACATACCTATAATCCTGGCATTCTGGGAGGCTGAGGCAGAAAGATTGCAAGTTTGAGCCCAGCCTGGACAACTTAGTGAGACTGTGTCTCAAAAAAATAAGAAAAGCTGGAGATGTAGCTCAGTGTGAAGGGCCTGGGTTTAATCCCCATACCATGAAATAGTTTAGGGGAGAGTGATATGTTCTAGTGTTAGGAATTGCCCAAGTTCTTTTTCTTTCCTTAGATTGGTGCTTATGAGAGACTTTGACTAGAAATTCTTTGAGTCTTTTTTTCAACTACTTTTTTTCCTAAAGCAGTATTAGACTTTTAGGATTCGTCAATATCCTGATGTTCACCTCATTACTGGGAAGGGTAATGTTGAAAAAACACAGTCAGAAATAAAAAATTTTTCTCTTGATCACTCAGTAGAGATAATAAAAGAGAGGTGTGAATAACACATGACCATCCTCATCAGAGATGGGTCGCAGTTAGGTATACGAAGACTCTTGTGTATCTCGATTTAAGAAAAAAAAAAAATCACATGGGAACCAAAATTTTAAATACTACTAGATCTGCCTTTCATTGACTGTATCACCTTAGATAGATCACTTTTACCCTCTGTGGGGCTTGGCTTCTGATAAAACAAAGACAACTAGGTTAAATGATCTTTAAGTTTATTTTCCAGCTCTCAAGTTTTTAAAAATTTTCTTCTTAGTATTTTAGTTTGTTCATCCTAGGCATAGTATTTCAGTGTCTTTTCTGTGCTGATGCTATGTTAAGGTCCTGGGAATACCTAGATGAATAGCTTCTGCCTGCTAGCATTTATAATCTAGTGAGGTGTGATGTGTGTAATGAGACATTTTCAGTGTAGTGTGCCATGTGTTGGAGAGAAATTATATTCAAGAGGCAGTGGAAGAATGGGCCATAAAGCCACCTCTTCCTGGAAGACTCAGGAGCCTTTAAAGAAAAAACACTTGAGCTAGTGTTGCAGGAAGAGAAGTGTAAGAGAAGGCATTCCAGGTAGAGAATGACTGATTGCAGTCAATAAATGTTTGTTAATGAACAGATGAAGTTTCTGTTGTAGAATATGAAGATTATATTAGGAGTTTACTGTTAATTTTAATATTTTCCAGGTTTATGGAGCCTGCAGTTATTGTTTGCCTGGGAGGAATTTTACCTTTTGGCTCAATCTTTATTGAAATGTAAGTTTTAATGATGTATTTGTGTCTTGAAATTTGATTATAATAAAAATAATTTAGGAGTTAGGGTAAGTATAGACTCATAAGATGAAGTAGCATCTTTGGTTGTCAGCCTTGTGTCACTATAACAAAATACCTGAGGGTAGTTAACTTGAGTTCACAGTTTTGGAGATTCAAAGTTAGGCAGATCCATTGGTTTAGCCTCAGGTAAGGATGGTGGATGGTGGTAGTACACCATGATGAGAATGTTTGTATAAGAGCTTACATCACCAAACAGGAAGTCAGAGAGAAACTGGCATCCCATAGTCGCTTTCAGGGGTGTGGCCCAAGTGATCTAAGGACCAACTACTAGACCCCAGCTCCCAAAGATTCCACCACCACCCAACAGTGCCACTCTGGCAACCATGACTTTTAAGATCCTTGGGAACATTCAGTCTATACTCAAACCATAGCAGGATCTAACAGTTTGTTAATTCCATAGCTTCCAAAAAGGGGTCTCCGTAGGCTCTCTAAAGGTGGTTGTCTGCCCTGTTCTCAAATTTTTAGGTGAAATGTGTATGTTTTGTTATATTCTAGACTTCTCTCATTTAACAGATATAAAAAATCAAAGCATCCAAGGCAGAAAGTTGGTAGACCAGCTTTTGATTACATGTATAGTATAAGGAATTACTGTGTTTTATTGTATTTGTTTAAATATTTCTAAGAATCCAAGGAATTAGGTAAACCGTTATCTACTAGTCACCCTATATCCTGACTTTTTTTTAATGTAGTCATTCCTAGGTTCCTTCCCTAGAGGCCTATACTGGGAAGTGTGTATTGTGTGCCCACTTACATGCTTCATATCTGCATCCTTCACCACTATTGCAAAGTACAAGCCTTTCTTTTCTCTGCCTGTGGTTCAGTATTCCGTAATAGGAATAGTGTTTTAGGCAAGGTAGTTCTTTGTATGGGACTTTCTCAAATACTATAATTATATACCCCTGACTCCTCCCCACTAAATTCTAGTCCTTCTGATAACCTTAAATACCTTTACACATTTCCTGATGCCCCACTCCTGATTCTCTCCAATGTGGTGGAAGCCTCTGTAACAGACAAGATTGGGTTGGTAGCTGGTTAATTGAAAAGGTTGGTTCATCTAACAGAAGTGTTAAAAAATATATACATTTATTTTAAAATAACTAAATACATCATTCACTGACTTTTACTTCTCTTTTTTTTTTTGGTACCAGGGATCGAACTTGGGTCCTTGCGCTTGCGCAGCAGGCGGCGAAACCACTGAGCTAAATCCCCGGCCCATTCACTGACTTTTAAATGTTTTAAAATATAGAGCCAAAGTCTTCTCTTTGATTTGTATCTATGTTGGAGTATCTACCATTTTTCTTTAATATTCATTTAAAAAACTTAGGTGTTTCCCAGCCTTTTGAAAAGAACAAGACTATTAAGATCTATCTGAAGCATTCTAAGTACAGAGTCCTTTAAGACTGATTCATTTTTCTCAGTCTTCTATAGCCATCTTACACTTAATTTTATAGCTTTTTTCTTCTTAGTAACTGTCCTTATTGAATCTTTCCAAAGCATTCAGTAGAATTATTATAGCAACCACACATCCTTTTTGCTCTCATGTATTGGTTTATGTAATAATTAATTGTCTGTATAAGTTAGCTTTCCATCACCATGACAAATATCTAAGGTAAATCTGCTTATAAGGAGGAAAAGTTTATTTTGATTCATGGGTTCAGAGATTTCAATCCATGGTTGATGGCAGAGGAAACCTGTTCACCTCATGCAGTAAGGAAGCAAAGTAGTGTAGGGGCAAGGCTGGCTGACTGGCCAACCAGGGTCCCAATATCCCCTTGAAGGGCATATCCTCAATAACCTAACTTCCTTTTAGTAGGCCCTACCACCTGAAGGTTTCATCACCTCCCAGTAGTGCCACAGGCTGGCAACCAAGCCTTAAAAACACGAACTTTGGGGAGCATTTAAGATCCAAATCCAATATTGTCTACTCTAACAAGTACAACTGACATAAATAGATATGGTTGTCACCTATTATCTACAAGTATGCTGTGAACGTTAGGTGGTACCTTGTGGGGATTTCATGTCACTCTAACTTGTGGTATTATAAAGACAGTCTAGGAACTATTTTAGTACTTCAAGCTGTTACTACATCTTTGTCTTCTCACCCTGACTTGACCCCTCACTATTTTCTCCCTCCTACCCCTGTCCCCAGTACTTCTGGATCATGTCTCTTCCTGCTTTCTCAGGTACTCTGTTCCATTTGATAGCTTTTCTGCTCGCTCTTTAAAGTCTCCTCTTTCGAACACCCTCAAAGACATTTTCCTCCTGGCAGCCAAATGATATTTTTTAACCTGTCAGTCTGCTCATGTCACTTTTTTGCTAACAACTTCTCACTTTCATCATCATGAGGTCCCAACTGCATAATATGATCAAGAGAAACCTTCATGATACTGGAAATGATCCTATCTATTCTTTTACTTCTTGTCCCTTCATTTAAACTTCTAGCTATTTTGAATTCTTTGAGTTTTTCAAAATGCAATCAATTCCTTTATTTACAGACACCTTTGCTTTTGCTGTTCTGTTATTCCTGTACCTGGATCATTCTGGGTTCCCCTGCCTCACCATGCCTTGTCTGAGTCTGTCTTTCCCCATTCCCCACTAGTCAATAATCTCCTTGAGGGTAGAGATGTTGTCTTCACAGTTCTATTCTTTCTGCTTTCCTGGTTGGCATATGGTAGGGGGTCTGTAAATATTTGTTGAAAGAATGAATGATGAATAAACAAACTAACAAACAGAAGAGAAAACCCAAAGAATAGAGGGACAGAGAGACACTAAGGGCCTGTTCAGATTTAGTGATGATTTGGGTATTTAAAGTCTTTCACTTAATGAGAAATCTGACTGCCCTTTTCCAGTCTTCTGAAGACAGTGTAAATCTTCCTTAGACTTTATTTTCCTTTCTGTAATTTTACATATTACTTTATTAAATGTATTTTTCTATTTAGTAGGATGTTTTAGATAATATAAAATATATTGCTTTACTAATATCTACAAAAATGAAAAAATTGGCTTTATTTTACAAATGCATATTTTTAGCTGTATTCATTTGTTCTTTTCTTTATTTTACTGTGTCAAACTTCTGTTTATTCAGTTTGTTTAGAGATGAATGCCCTAATGAATCTATTCTTGAAAAATTATGACAACATTTTTGAGAGAATTTTTGAGGATTTAATAAATGAGAAATGGTTTAAAGAAAGTATTGGAAATTACTTAAAAGAAAAATACTGAGATTTGTGAGATTAAAGGTGAGAACTAATATATGAGAACAGAGTAAGCTTCAAGAAAGAAGAATAGAGCCAGTAATTCCAGCACACCTGTAATTCCAGCACACCTGTAATTCCAGCACTCTTGAGAGGCAGAGGCAGGACAATTGCCATGGGTTTGAGGCCAGCCTGGGCTGCATAGTAAGCTTAAGGCCAGTCTGTACATATTGAGACTCTGTCTCAAAAAATAAAAAAATGAAGACTAGAAACCTTTGTCTTTACTACATTGTCTAGGTATTTCATCTTCACATCTTTCTGGGCATATAAGATCTATTATGTCTATGGCTTCATGATGTTGGTGCTGGTCATCCTGTGCATTGTGACCGTCTGCGTGACCATCGTGTGCACATACTTCCTGCTAAATGCAGAAGATTATAGGTGGTAAGTGCTTACCTGTGGGCAGAGCCTCCAGTACCATACATTTTATAGTAAGAGTCTCTTGGGAGTCTGTTGAGCAAAGGAAAGGGTCTGGTTAGAAATTTTACTACTTAAAATAAAATATAGAACCAGGGCATTGTGGCACATGCCTGTAATCCCAGCTACCCAGGAGGATGAGGCAGAAAGATAGCAAGTTCAAGCCTAGCTTGGCAACTTAACAAAACTGTCTCAAAATGACAGGGGATGGAGATGTAGCTCAGTGGTAAGCATGAGGCCCTAGGTTCAATCCCTGTACTGCCAAAAAGAAAAGAAAAAGAGGGCCGGGGATTTAGCTCAGTGGTTTCGCCGCCTGCCTCACAAGCACAAGGACCCAAGTTCGATCCCCGGTACCAAAATAACAAAACAAAGCCAAAAAAAAGAAAAAGAAAAGAAAAAGATAGTATAGCAATTTTTTTTTTTAAGTTACAGAAATGATGAAGATTGATGTATAGTATCAGGTATTTTTGTGCTAATGTTAGAAATATTTTTGCAAGATGTTTGATGTGGCAAGAGTTTTATGAAGAAGCATCTTTCAATTTTAAACAAGACTAAAATGAAAAAGGAAATGGTTTATTTAAAGTCACTTATAATAGGGAATGTAACAAAATTCAAGCTCTCTCCTAATTCTTAGGTTGTCTCCTAGTTGATATATCTAAGCACCAAGTACAAATATTTGTTTTTAAATATACAGAATTTTTTAAAGGAATTTTGTAAAATTCTTTGTTTTAAAATCCTTGCTTTAGTGCCATTTATTCAGGAGTTCTTTCCACCTCTTCCCCAGGCAATGGACAAGTTTTCTCTCTGCTGCATCAACTGCAATCTATGTTTACATGTATTCCTTTTACTACTATTTTTTCAAAACAAAGTAAGTAGAGACATTTTTTTCCTCTTTTTTAAGTTTAGGAAACAATTAATTGTTCTTTAAATACTTTATGTTGAAAGTAAGTTCAGTTATTTCTTGATTGCAGGATGTATGGCTTATTTCAAACATCATTTTACTTTGGATATATGGCGGTATTTAGCACAGCCTTGGGGATAATGTGTGGTAAGTTCTGAAATTCTTAAAGCATAAGTAAATCTGAGTGTCTCAGAAAAAAATGCAGTAAGTGGAAATTAAGAAATTCCATTCTGTTATATTGTCAGAAATATCAAAATAAATTTAAGATTCTGCTTTTAGTCTGTTGACTCTCAATACCTAATATATCACCTTATTAATTTCTGTTCTACTGATTCTTCATGGCACATACTACATTTAGTTTTTCATCCATATTGAGAATTGATATTATTTTAAGCTTGAATTCATTGGTGAAGATCATGATGTCAGCAGGTTTAGGTGTTCCCTGAATGATTTCTGTTGGGGAGTTTCTTGGACTGTCGATGGAGATACTAGTGTCAGCATAGTTTACTAAGTGACTACTTGTGCATGCCTGGGGTTCTACAGACTGGGCTTAAGCTCTGACTGTGCCATATGTATATTCTGCGCCTTGATCCAGTTGCCCTAATTCTCCAAGCCTCTGTAAAATGAGAATAATACTACTATTTTATTGATGCAGCATAATCTTTCATTAGAAGGAAGCAGAAACAGTTGTCACCATACAGTAGGAGTCCTGGCATTTGTGCAATAACTATAAAATAAAAACAGCATGTCTGGTATAAATGGGAAGGGTATGAACTTCAGAGCCCAAAAGACCTGAATTTCAGATCTCCATGTTGCTCTTCACCTTTTTTTTGGCTATAGAAGTCACGTTAACCTCTGTCTTATTTCTCATCTATAAAATGAGCATGTCTTGCAGAATTGAGAGGTTGACGGAAACCATGTCATATGTAGAAAATAGTACTTGGACTGTTAGTTGCTAAGAGGGAACCAGTTACATAGGAGAGACTCTGAAGAATGGGAAGAACTCATACTTCTGGGTTCAGACAGCCCTAGGTAGGAATTCTGGTATCCCCACTTAATAGCCAATTACAATAGTTTCTTCCTCAGCTGTCTCCATCCATTCATAGCGTAGAAGAAAACCTTCCTCACAGGATTGTGCAGAGAATTCTGTGATTGAATGTAATGATCTAAACCTTGGGCTGATGGTAGATGCCCAGTGAGTGGTGGCTGCTGCTGTTAACTGATGAGAGCTAAATATCCTTGGGTTTCTTTTGCTCAGGGATTGCAGCTGTTTTCTGCGGTCACTGTGGGGTTCTATACCTTGTATCATCTGCAGAACAATTTCACAACACTAAGTCTAGACAGAGCTACTTTAAGGAAAACTCATTTACTGTTTCATTCAGTAAATGAGACTAATCACTGTTTTATTTGATAAATGAGACTAATCACTATGGCTACATTTCCAGAGAGTGAATATTTCGGACCTTCCTCCTTTTTATGTTAATTTGCCATGGACATTTCAAACAAACAAATAACAACAAAAATAACACCCTTCTACTTTTAGCTATAGGTTGGGCAATAGAATGGAGAAGATATAATAATTTTGTGAAAGACTGGATCTGTGTATGACATTCATGCAGATCTTTGGGGTACCAATATTGCTTTAATCCTCCATTGAAAGTCTGTTCAGTTCATATGCACCATGTCCATGATCATGTGTGTACACATGGATGAGGTTGAATGTAAAGTAATGAAACTAATACCACAAGCTGTAAGGGAAGATATTTCTGTATATTATAGTCATTATGACTGCTGTGACCGTAATGCTATTGCTATAAGCATTGTCTATGGTAATTAGTTAACCAACTTTGAGGGAAAAATGAATATGGGATGAAAGGTTAAAACAGAGTTGAATTGTGTGGAAACATCTTATCCTCAGGCAATCAGATGTTCCTTTAGTGTTACTGGCCATGCTTCCTTCACAGTATTACTCACTGGACTCTTTCATCTGAGATCGTTCTTGATTATCACTACTATTAAGTGAGGTGTAGAATTATATCATTATGCAGAGAGTGAACATTTTTTTCTGGACTTGACTTTCTGTATGTAATCTAGGAAAATCTAGAAAAGTAACATCTTAACATTTAGAAAGAAAGTGGAAGAATCCAGCTAATTTTTTTTTAGTACTTTTCCCATTGAAATTTTATATTGCTGTCTGAAATCTTGGTACATTTATAGTTACCAGTCACTCTGGTGGTATCCTAATATTTATCTTTTAATGGGTTGATATAGTTCACAGCTAGTCTGTTTGGGGGGTGGAGGAGATAATGTTCAGACTGAAACTGACTAAAGTGTTATCATAATATAAAATTATGCATATCCATCAGCTTTGTTGATTAAAATGTTTAAGTCAGTAATAAAATATTTGCTGATTTTTTTTAATGTAGAAAAAAATAAATGACAATGTGGAAAATACATGGATTATTCTGGTCTATATGTTAGAAGCATAGCACTTTTAAGGAAATTACATGCATCTGTTATTCCTGCGTTTATAGAATATATGCAATATTATCTTTCTATAAGTCATATTTTTTAAGTTTATTCTTGAGGAATTCGTAAATTAGAAAACATGATTCTCTGGGTTGATGCTGTTTTGATTTTGTGTAAATTTCTGCTTGAAAAAGAACAATGTAAATCCAGAAAATTGGATTTGGTTGTTGGATTTGTGCTATATTTTACCAGTTAAATTTTTGGTTGTATTAAATTTTTATAAGAATCCAGGTTTATTTTTATAAAATTGAATGATTTTTTTCTCTTACCTTTAAAAGAACTGTAATATAACTATTTTAAAATGCATTATCAGTATTTTTTTTTTTTGGTATCAGGGATCGAACTTGGGACCTTGTGCTTGCAAGGCAGTATTTTAAAGTATAATCTTAGTTCATATTTTAAGAGATATGTCTAGTACTTGCAAAAATAATTGAAAGTAGGTTTGCTTTGGCATTTTGATAGTTTGTAATTTTAGTATTTAATTATAGGAAAATTTCAAATATTTACAGAATGAGAGATACTGATATATATATATAGTGAGACTCCATGTTCCCAGCCCCCAGTGTGGTGATAATAGACTCATGGCCAGTCTGTATCCCCATTTTACCCCCTCCCCCTTGTTTGGACATTAATGTTAGATTTTGTATCATTTCAACTGCAAGTATTTCAGTGTGTATCTCTCTAAAAGATAAATGTAATTCCTTAATATTTGAGGCTCATTATTAAAAACATTTTAAAAACTCCCTATCTACTTATCTATTTCCAAATACCTATTATCCTTTCTGCCAATCACACAGCTTCTGTGACTTAAACATAAAAAAAGATATCAGAAAGTATTTCTGTATGTATTTGCAGAAGTCAGTGGGACATGGTTTTCTCTTCTCTGAGAGTATCCCTCATCCCTTCTTATTAGGGAACATATGTTGATACTGCATTAATGACCTAGAGTAATATGTGCTTATTAAGTCAGATAAGGTATGTTTTTCATTTAGCAAAGTTTTGTCATTACCAAATTAGTCTTGCTTTCATAAGAGATGTATTTTAATTCCATAGTTACTCATTGTACAACTAATAATTGGCTATTTGATTTAGAACCAAATTGCATTATGTCAAACTTGGTGCATAACAGTAACAGATACTTTGCAAAACGAATGATACAATTTTAATAAGTAAGTTCAAAGAGAATGCTAATGTAAAGATAATCTTGAAAAAAAGTAACTTTCTAGACCAGATAGTATTTAATGTTTGTGAATGATGGATATGGTTTTATATTTATTTCAGATTTCTTATTTTCTCTTTGTAGGAGCAATTGGTTATATGGGAACAAGTGCCTTTGTCCGAAAAATCTATACTAATGTGAAAATTGACTAGATACCCAAGAAAACCTGGAACTTCGGATCAGTTTCTCTTTCAAAGGGGTGGAACTCGCACAACAAAAAGCGCAAGAAGAGATTTGGGCTTAACACTGGGTACTTTGTGGATGTCTCTTTCATGGATGACTTAAAGTAACATCTATTTCCATTGATCCTAGGTTCTTACTGACTGCTTTCTCCAACTGTTCACAGCAAATGCTTGGATTTATGCAGTAGGCATTACTACAGTACATGGCTAATCTTCCCTAAAACTAGCTCATTAAAGATGAAATAGACCAGCTCTCTTCAGTGAAGAGGACAAATTGTTTATTTAAAGCATTTGTTCCAATAAAATAAATAGAGGGAAACTTGGATGCTAAAATTTTACATGAATAGAAATCTTCCTGGCACTTAGTGTTTCTATGTTACTGAAAAATGATGTTCCAGAAAGATGACTTTTTTCCTCTTTATTTTTACAGCCATTGTCGATCTGTTGTGGGACATTTTTATATATTAAGTCTGGGTTCTTTTTGACCGTTTTTTTTTTTAACTCAACTGCATCCTTTTTTAAATATTAATTCTGCATGTAATATATCTGCTGTCATCTTAGTTGGACGAACTTCCCATTTGTTTGTCTTATAATTATCCATTTATATCTTAATTCCATCCAAAGAAGATAGAGTCTGAAGATAGAGGTGTACTCTCTACAATGCAATTTACTCTACAGTTAGAAAGCAAAAAAAGTTAAATGGAGAAGATACTTGCTTTTATTAAACATTTTGAAATTTAGATAAACTACATTTTAACTGAATGTCTACAGTAATTATCATTTTTCCCCAGAGTTAGTCTTACATCATTTTTGGGTTTGAATAAAGGTGTTACATAAGACATTATTAAAAACAAGGGGGGGGATGGATAATAAATGTATATAACATTAAATAATGTAATGTAGGTGTAGATTCCCAAATGCATTTGGATGTACAGATTGACTGAGGAGTACTTTTTTCTGATGATGATTGGTGTAGAAATGTGTGAATTTGGGTGGCTTTTTATATCTTGCCTACCATTGCATGAAACATTGGGGTTTCTTCAAATGTGTGTGTCATACTTCTTTTGGGGGGGGGGGTTTCTTCTGTTTCTTTTCTGAAACTCCTACAGGAGCTAAATTTGTAATTTAGAAACATTAATTTTGTTAATCCTGTCTGGGACACTTAAGTAACATCTAAAGCATTACTGCTTTAGAATGTTAAAATAAAATTTCCTGACCAAATTGTTTTGTGGAAATAGATGTGTTTGCAATTTGAAGATACCTGTTCAAAAAGCAATATTAAATGCTGGTTATTTTTGTATAATATACTGTAAAATACGCTTTTCTAATACAGAGGACCCCCCCCTTAAAATTTCCAAATTTGCCAAATAATTTAGACTATTGAGTGTAGTCATAAAATGAATGATAAGCCCTTTGAATGAAATCGTGGCACAAAATCTGATCGGTATAACATGTAAAATCGGATGTGGTATGAGTGGCTAGCTTACTATTGGGTGAACAAATACTGTTTTCTCTCCTTCCCTCTCTTCCTGTCTCCTTCCCCACCCTCTTCCCTCCCCTCCCCTCCTCTTCCCTCCTTCCTTCCTTTCTACCTTCCTTCCTTTTTTGAGTCGTACTAGAGAATGAACCTAGGACCTTTTACACTGAGCTACTTCTGAGTCCTTTTTTATTTTGGGACAGGGTCTCACTAAATTGCCTGGGCTGGGCTCAAACTTGGGATCCTCCTGCCTCAGCCTCCCAAAGTGCTGGGCTTATACAGCATGTACTCTATGCCCAACTTACGGTTACAGTTTTTAAAAAGAAATGATTTTAATTTTGAATATATGTTTTCCGCAGCTCTCCATAATGTGAAGTTTTCCTAGAACCATTGAGTTTCTAGTTTAATAGTTTATTATGCAAATGACCTCCTAAAGCTACTGTATATTGGCATTTTTAGAAAGACTCAAATCATCTCTATTAAACCTTAATGTGAAAATCATGCCATTAATAGTTACATAAAATGTTATCACAAAATGTTTCTATAAAATTATAGGCTCCATCTCATACATTGTGACATATAAAGAGTTAAACTTTGATTTCTTACCACTTAAGTATAGTTTACAAATCTGAACAAATTTTTTTTGGCACTGGGGATCGAACTCAGGACCTTGCACTTGCAAGGCAGGCGCTGGAACCACTGAGCTAAATCCCTGGCCCAACAAATTTTTTTTTTTGGTACTGGGGATCGAACTCAGGACTTTGCACTTGCGAGGCAGGCGGCAGCACCACTGAGCTAAATCCCCAGCCCCAGAACAGACAGATTTGATGAGAAGCCATGGGTAGATCCTCTTCTTCAAGACTGAATGTTAAATATAATCTCATTCTTCCAAAATTTTTTCTCTTTGTTTTCACCTGCCTTTATGATCTTACAAGAAACTTAAAGGTTGATATTTAATTGCTTATATCATATAACTTTTAAACATAAAGTACTTTTAACATAATATATAGTTTATCTGATGGAATATCAACTATAGAGCACACTTGTCTTAATGCAGTTTTTTTCTTATGATATAAATCTTGTAGGTAAGATATAAGGGTTTTAAAGAAATGGTTTAGTGCTCGCTTCGGCAGCACATGTACTAAAGAAGAGATTTAGCTGTTTGCAGATACACCAACTTTTTTACTGAGTTGAGCTCTATTTGAAGCTTTGAAGTTATTTGAATCTGCAGTAAAAAATAATTTTCTAATTTCCAAATATATTAGGAACATTAAATCACCTTGAAAGTCTTTTAGAAAAGCACTTGTGGTTTTTGGCTTTCTTGGGTGGTGAAGTAAGTATATATGTCTTAAAGAAGATGTAGCTCACAAATGGTTTAGCTCCCTAGCTGTCAGTTGTAGAATAGTAAAATAGAATATTTTTAAAGTTAATTGAAGGATGGGGTTTTTCTACTCTATTAATGCCACCGATCTCTTCTATTTGCTAACATGTGCTCAACTCAACTGACACTTTGAATACTATTAAAAACTAAAGATAAGCTTTATGTAGCTTTAAGCATGCTTCTCCTGAAATTTAGCTACATTAGATGTTGACACTGTTAATACACATATCCTAGTATAAGAGAAGGTAAAATAGAAATGTAATGGCTGGGGGAAAGTAATAAAGTATTCTTTCATATATCGTGTTGGGCGCCTAGATTTTATTGGGCTAACCCATAAATCAAACCCCATACTCTTAGAATTCAGTATATTGTGATACCTGAACCTAGTCAATAGTGTGCTGGGTGTTTCCCACTGAGAATGAATAAACCCTCATAGTGGTTGCTGCAAATTCCAGTTCTTCCAAATGCCACTTTATTTAGGGTTTATCCACAAATTGTATTCATTTTGATAGAGCATTTGTTTCCTAAATGTTTATTAACTAGTTTATGCCAAATGTCTTGGAAGTAAATGTTTTTTTAAAATTTCCTGAATTTTTACAAATGTAAAAAAGAAAAAGTATATTAATGTAATTTGTTCAGGAAAGCTACATACTGAAGGGCTTCTGTAAATGAATTCTAGAGAGAAGAGCCTATTTGTAAAAATACACTGCAGTTTTTGGAGGGGTTTGGGTTTAGGTTGCAGTGTATTTTTGTGCTTTATTCTGTCAATTTATTGGAACATATAAATAGGAATAGTGATGTGTGAAAACATTCATTAATGGTTTATATTGTCATTAAAATTCAATGGTTATGAAGCTGTGTTTTAGCAATCAAGGTACTGTATTAAAACAGAGATGTGGAAATTTAGGAAGATTTTTTGGAAGAGTATACAGATATAGACCAGATTTACAAATAGTGTAGATCGGAAAGTTAACATATACCTGCAGAAATTTTGTAAGATTTAAATTAAGTGTGAGAAATAACTCTAGTTTCTCTTATATGAGCATTTCCTAAAAGTTGGATCTAGTTTAACATTCTTATTTGAGCTGTTGATAGGTATGTACAAACACAAAAATAAAATGAAATTCTTGTTCCACTCTTAGGAAATGGAAACTGCTGTGAAAGCTGCTTATAATGAAGCATTAGTGAACTAGGCCTGTAATAAAATTGACAAAAGTATAGTGTATGAACCCCAGTTCTTCAGTTTAGGTCATTTGAAGGTTATAAACATTAAGAGCTTAAGGCAAGGAAGAAAATTCATGCAATTTTATTTGAAGGACAACAACATTCTTGGAAAAGCAGTCCCACTTCGTCTTTTCATCTGTGTTAAACTTGAACCTATAAATCCCCACAGAGCATGGACAGTCAACAGAATTGGAAGGAAACAGTTAACTGCCTGATGATCACTTCCATTTTGTATACACCCTTGATTTGTGAAGGCCATATTCCAACTGCCTTTTTAGTAATAGAAATCCAGTATATAATGTATCAAATACAACTGAGGTTCTAATCTAGTCTGTTTAATTTATCTGGAGATGGATTTTTAAAAAGTAATAAAAAGTTAAATGTATTTCCCTTGGATGCTTTATTTCTTTTTTTTTTTTTTTTTTTTTGGAAACAGGTGAATCAAGCATAAGGAATGACCCTTATTATAGACATACATGTGAAGAGATTACTTTCACAGTTAAGTAAAGCAGGGGTCAACAATTGTGAAGAACCAGATAGTAAATAGGCATTGAGGACTACCCAGTCTCTGTTGCAGCTACTCTGGCATTGTACCACAAAGCAACCATGGTAATCAGTACATAAATTAGTGAATGTGACTAGATTCTAATTTAAGTGAAAAAAAAGCAGCTCCTGGGCTGCAGTTTGCTGACATCTGAAATGAAGGGTTTAAAATTTAAAGTTTGATTTTCCCTGGCAAATTTGTATTTTGGAGAAAAATTTAATGTACAGAATGGTTGAAAGAATGGTACAATGAACAAGATTGGTCTTTTTTAAAAAATGGTTTTACATTATCACCATTCTTTTGACTTTTCTTTATGAGGTCAAAAATGGTGAATGTAATTTTTTTTTTTGGTACCAGGGATTGAATTCAGGTCCTTGTGCTTGTGCAGCAGGTGGTGAAACCACAGAGCTAAATCCCCAGCCCATGAATGTAACTTTTTAAAAAAATTTTTGTTACAGTAAATGATTCATTGCCATTAATCCTCCTCAAAATACTTCACCTCACTTTAAACACTTCTCATCATTTTTGCCACTTTCTGAAGCAGTTCTGGAGTCCTCTTTCATTAGTGTCTTTAGTTGCACTGTTGTGGCTGCCTTGGTGTCCTGAAGTGATTCAAAACATTTGCCTTTGATAATCATTTGATTTTGGGGGAAGAGTGAGAGAAGTCACACGGTGCCAGATCCGGTAAATAAGGTAGAGGACATACTACAATTGTATGGCACTCAGCAGCAGCATTCACTGCTTTTTTTTTTTTGTATCAGGGATTGAACTCAGGACCTTGCATTTGCAAGGCAGGCGCGGTGCCACTGAGCTAAATCCCCAGTCCAGTCCTCACTGCATTTTTGGTAACACCTAAAGAATTTCTAGAACTGCTTCAGAAAGTGCCAGGATAAGTGTTTATAAGGAGGGGAGTATTTTGAGGGAAGTTAATGACAATGTATTTTTTTACTCATTTAAATTTTTTAAAAATTTAAATACTTTGATCACTGTGTATCCACACTCCAAATCCTACACTCAGATCTCAGTACCTCTGTCTTTCATTCTCCTGATTGATAATACATTGCCTTTATGTAGTTAGCACTTAATACTTTTTCAGAGCATGTGTTAACGTGTTAACTTTACATGTGTTTCACATGTGTTTACAATCACATGTGTTAACTTTACAATCATCCTGTGAAGCTGGAAGGGTAGACAAGGAACTAAGGGAGCTAAAGTGGCTTCTATTTTTAGCCCAAAAGAAATCATATAGGGCCCTGTTGTCTTGTTATTTGTAACTATAAAATGGAGGTATCATCTCTCCAACCTGATAGGCAGATAATATATGTAAAGTTACATTGAATATCAGTGCCTTTTACAAATGAAAAAATTATTTTTATTCTACATTGAAATTAGTGGTTAATTTCTCCATGTTTGTACCTTTTTTCATTTTTAACTACTTTTTAACTAGTTTTTGAGATCCTTATCAATCTCCTTGGTTCTTTTCACCCCCTAATTTTATTAGTTGCCTCAGCACCTATACTTGGCAATTCCTACTAGACAGTACAAAATTGTGATTCTGTCTGATCTCTCTAATGAGCACTTTTTATTTGGTTGGAAAACTAAGGGCAGAAGGAATTCTATTGTCCAGCCAGCTTTTCAAAGTGAGTATTATAATAATCTACAATATAACATTTAAAAAAGAGATAGGCCTACATTGGGACAAGTGAAAACAATTCTACAAAGGTATTTAAGATTATTTATTTAAAATGATTTTTATTTTGAAATTTGCATGCTTAAGGTGACAGAGTTTCAAATTTTGATGGAAATGGTTGTAGGGAGAAGTTTTAACTGGCCACTCATTCTTAGCTACCAAAATCAGGACTTAATCCTGAAGGTCAACTGAAGGGAAGGAAAGGTCGAATGAAACCTATGGTGGTTCAAAATTGGAGTTGGCCGGAGAGGTCTGCTGCAGTTTTCGGAAGAGTAGTCAGTTTCCCCATGGGATTTTATTTAAAAATATATTTAAAAATTATTTGAATCCAGATTAGAGTTTACTATAAAAATGATGAATAAAATCAGGAGCTACAGAACTGATGAGGAAAACATTGATTATCCCTCTTCAGTTATTCCTAACCTTTCTAACAATGTAAATATTTTGTTGCTGTTGTTTGATAGAGGGAGTAGTGTCTAGGCCT